ATGAAGTTTTATCTGCATATAAGTAACTAATCTTTTCTATAAACTGTATAGAAAGAAAACTTACAGACCTTTTTCTAAGAAATTCGATGAAGTACTGATTAATGTAAATCAGGTAACGGAGGAAACATCTAAAACGTTGTGAAAATGGAATCATTCATTGATAAATCATGCATCATCCACCGGTCAAATTTTATTTTTAGCTGAAGAGCCTTTTTTTTAACCCTTTGTGTGCCTGAATTAATAAGGAAGGCATAAAAAGTTAGCGCCAGTAATAAGAACAAAGAAAAAATCAAAACACCGCACCCCGGCGCAGGTACTGATATTGAACTAATTAAAATTTTAAGTAAGAAGCCGCAGACGTTCAACAGTGTTGGCAAACTTCACATTAAAATAATCCCATTTTCCATTAAATCGTATGGATAAGAAAGACCGAAGAGCAATTAGGCGAAGCATCGTTGCCAAATTTAAATATATTTCTTGCCGAAACTGGAAAAAACCGATTCGCTTTTCGCACATTCTGGCAGCGCGGCACAGCGTCCGCAGCGTGGGAAAACTGTGAGCGTTTAATAACCAATAACAATTACACAACAAGGAGAAAATGAAATATTTTGTCTCTCCGGACAGGTCTCGATATTTCAAGCTAGGCTATTTATTTAGGAAAGGCTTGCGGTTTGCTACCGAAAGGCCCGGGGCCTCGCCGCGGCCCGGCTCCGAACATGCTAAATAGCCGCCTAACACATCCATTATTCGAAGCATTACATGTATTTTTAATTTATTTCGAATTTATTGGAGCTTAGCGCCCAGTCCCAATCGGAGAGAAATGCGCTTTGGCTTCTGTTTTCGCCGCCGGCCAATCGGCGCGTCTCATTCGTCTGACCGTCTGATCACGCGGCTGCGGTTCAGGGCCACGTTGCCAGGGCCTTTTTTCTACAAGATCCTCACAATAGGCAAAAGTGAGTGTTAATTATTCTCGGATTGAGGAGAGATTTTAATATTACGTCATTGCCATCTATAAAACAGTATTTCCTAAGAGAAATAAGAGCCGCAATATGGATTGCGGGTTTGTTTGCGAGTTGTCGCACACTTTTTTACATCCAGAATGTTAAACCAGCATCCTCTTTTTTCGGTGTCATTTTATTAAGTACAGTTGGATTACATTTTGCCATCAGGAGCTACAATTTCTAGCCCAATCGTAAAAACTGTCATGCGCACAGGAAAATCAATGGCACAAACGTCGTTTCTAAACTAAGCCAGACATTATAGTTCCTACTTGCAAAATGTAGTACAATGGAGATGTTGCATGTGTGAGGGATTTGCGATTTGACTGTTGATTCTTATGCAAAAGTTCGCGAGAAACACGATGGTGCCACTGGTTTTCTCTGCAATCATCTCCTAAGCTCAAAAAAAGCTCTCAAAGTGAGGCCAAAATGGAGGGGATATCCCACCCTACCCTGAAAGTCCACCTCTACATAAAAAAAAACTCTGCATGCAAAGATAGGAAGCAAATACATTAGCCGGATTGCCGTGTTTTCAGTTTTGGAGTCCCCAAATAAAGTGGCAGCCCTGTCAATGTATTTGCTCCCTATCTTTGCATGGAGAATTCGTTTTGATGTAGAGGTGGACTCTCAGGGTAGGGTGGGATATCCCCTCCATTTTGGCCTCAACTTGAGAGCTTTTTTTGAGCTTGGGAGTTGATTTCAGAGAAAACCAGTGGCACCATCGTGTTTCTCGCGAACTTTTACATAAGAATCAACAGTCAAATCGCAAATTCCTCACACATGCAACATCTCCATTGAGCTGTTGGATGGGAATTTGTTGAAATTTGAAGTTGGCAACACGGGTGAGTCGGAGCGGAAAACTGAATCCTTTTGCTTTCCGTGGCCGTGTTGGCACTTAGAGCGTCGGTCATCTCTCATGCTAATGCAGTGGTTGGAAGTCGACCGGTCGTCCTATCCCGAGGGAACATTCGTCAAGTGTTTTTTCACGGAGCCGAGGCTGGCTCCTGGCTCCAGCGAGGCGTCAGACCCCGCCGAGGTCCGCTTTCCCGCTCAAAGGGTAGCCGCGACCGCGACCGCCCAAAGTTGCCGCTCTAGATCGAAAATCAGTTTAAAGAAAAATCAGGTACCTAAAAATAAAAGGAAAACCGCCCGGTAGAATGGAACAACTTTAGATTACTTTAATCGGCTCCAAGCGTTGGATCTGTCGACAATTTTGATCTTTACGTCGATCACCGAAGTGCAAAACCACGTATCTCATAGGCGGCTTCAAGATGGGGACGTAGGGGGCGTATGCCGTTCCCGTTCGCCCGAAAAACAGGAGGAAGGAAACGAGAAGAAAGAAAGAAGGAATGGAGGAAAGACGAAGGAAGGACGCTTGTTTTCGGTAATTACGTATGACGAACTTCACTTGAAATGTGTGAAAGATGCTTTAAAATTTCGTAAATTTTCTGGATGAAGTCCCCCCAGACCTCCCTCTTGCCGTCTCGTTCGAGCTATCTGGGTTTTGCCTTTGACGTATCTCCGTCGCAACGTTTCAAATTTTCCGCTCCTATTTTATTTTCCAAAGAGAAACAAGCCAACTGCATAGCCTAGAATGTATAAAAAATAAATTCTACCAACGGAGAAGAAAAATCGTGAGGTTTTCAGGAAATTACGTTGACTAGTTTTTCAAGGGAAAAATAATGACTGGAAGTTTACAATGTCGCGAACGGAGATACGTGGCATCTCACTTTGATCATCGATGAATTGTATTTAAATCCCGAGAAACAACGAAAACTTTAACCTAACATTACCTAACCTAACCTAACGTAACTCGACCTAACGCAACCTTGCCTAACATTACCTTAGGAAGTTTCCGTCACCAACTTTTTCGATCCTAGAATTGAAAAATTGCCCTCGGGGGGTTATTACTGTTTCCTCTTATGTGTAAACCCGGATACGGATTGTTTTTTTTTTTCGATGCCAACTCTCTGAATGCTTATTTAAAATTTACATAAAGTACACTATTTAATCGACCATTCATGTTTTCAAAAATAAATTCCAAGACGTTTTCTGCACCATGAGCCAACAGCGTAAACCGCAAGTCCGAGTTTGATTTGTTTCTCCGAAAGGAACGGGAGGAAATGGAAAAGCAGAAAGGGTGCGCGCAGGTAACCTTTAATTAAAAAAATAATCGCTCCAATAGCCACCGACAGATGGCTTATTTAGGAGCGGATCGATTTTTGTGTCCATTCGGTTTTTTTCATTTTTTTACGACGCCGCGAAGCGCCGGTCGACGGGAAGCAGCTCCGGTATGTTCCTCGCCCACCGCGTTCCCATTGGATGATGACCCTCCTTGACCTTCATTGATTCTCCAACGGATGTTGCTTATGAGTTTTTCCACGTTTGAAATAGGAAATAGTAGCGGTGTCCATCAGTGGCGTGACGTGCTTTGCGATACATCGATTGATCTGTCATTGAAACCTACGGAAAAGGATCGATATGTAGGGTGTTCGCAGCGAACACCTTAATAATCGATTCTTTACCATAGCTTCAAATGGGGAAATATCGATAATCGATTATTCACGTCTCGCCACTGGTGCCCATCTCTCGAGCTTTGCCTGTTTCGTCTGGAGCTTATGCCACCATGCTAAGAAAAAACGACGGATAAACATTCGAATGATGCTAGATTTACTTTCATATAATATACTTATTTTTGAGACAAACCATAAACATTTTTCATTGAAATTTTTGGACACATGAGATCGAACTACGAACAAAGTTCCCTGAATATGGTAAAATGATTGAAAAAATAATCGAGCTACAAGTCAAAAATAAATTAAACAAATAATATTTCAAACTACATAGAGATGAGATTTTTGGCTTGCAGCTCGATTATTTTTTCAATCATTTTACCATGTTCTATAAAAACTAGCCAAATTGGCATTAAAATGTGTCCCCTAAGTATGTGGGGAAACATACTCAAAACTTTTTCCAAAAACTATGATTCGTCGACATCTGAAAGCTCATACAGTGTTTTTCCTCAGTACGGCAGTAATACATGGCGCCACGTTGGCATCGAGAGAGGAAGTTTGATCCTACAAACCGTGGTGCGACCGCATATTCGGTTAAACCGTACTTTTTGGTCGATACAATCGTAATTTTCTGTCGGTGTAGGTGTGTTGCGGGGGCTCAAAAATGCCGAATTAATGCGTTACGTATACTTTTGGGACGGCTCCTCAGACGATCAATAAGTAATATTGTTTACCTAAGTTTTTCCTGTAAAAATTGATATAAACAATAAGTCAAGCCCACTTTAGTGATAGAAACCTACTTTTTTGCAGATACTATCGGATTTTTTTTAACGGCTAATCGAATTTATGTGATCTATAATGATAGACTGCATTCGAATGCACGGAAAGATGGATCATTCGAATGTGGTTGATTCTATTGCACGAAATCCTGACAAATTAACGAATAAAGCGTGGTGAGGCTACATAACAGACTGTGGGACAGCCTTGAGAGTGAAGGATTCACGACACACCAAAACGCATACACAATCATTTCCTGTCTTACAACAATGAGAATAAAGAGTTGCCGTAATTTCAATGTTTATCAAACTCGCACATCACGCCGGACTGAATTGAATTCCTAAAAATTGTTATATCTCGACCAGTATTCAGCCTTGCTCATAAATAATGTAACTCTGCAAATCCGAAACGAGTTCGGCTCTTTCTCACGTATTTTTAATTACTGGACAACCATTTTTCTCAAATTTTACGTTGTGATTGGCATGAAGATATATTTTCAAATTGATACTTAATTCTTGATCCAAATCTCCCATTTTCTCCTTTATTTTCCATTCTATGAGAAAACATTTCTTGAGGGAGTTGTTCTAAAAATGTTGTTTCCTAGTTCAATGTCAGCCTCAGCCCTCAATTATTCTGTTTGTATTTCCTCCTCTTCTCAATTCAATTTTTTCTTTGGAAATAGACTAAAAAGATTGTGTATTGCGTTTTGCAGGTGCCAGAAATACAAAGTGCTTTGGCCGGAAAGTCTTGTGGCAGTGATGCATGGCCAACAGAACAAGAAATTATGGTAAGGATTAAAACTGTTCACTCATCATACATGTATTTCGGGCACAATATCAGTAGAGAGTTGGCCGTGAGAGTACGGATAATTAGCCCACTGTCTTTTCTCTTCATCTTGCCTTGTTTCTGTCTTGTGTTCGTAAAACTTTCTCCCACTGAACGTTTTTAAACGAAACACTGAGAAATGATAGTGAAAATAAAATATGTTTTGTCCTACTTTGACCACCAGAAGGGCAGAAAATCTATCAAGAGCATTCGTAAAATATTTAAAATGTCGGAATCGAATCATACAAGCAACTGTTTTAACTCCGGTGTAGGCTAATTGCATAGCAAACGATTTGAAGGAAAATTAACATTTTCTGCAAAATCGTCTGAAACAATCCATGCTTCACTTCTACTTTCCAAATTGTGTTTTTTCTGTCTAATTTACAAAAGAAGAAATAATATATTGAAAAGGCTTTTTTTATTTAAAGCTAGAGCAGGAAGCAAACCCAAGGGAATCTCTTACCGAAACGGTCTTAACAAAATATTAGAAAAATCATGATAAAACAATATTGGTAGATACTATCCTAGATACACCTTGAATAACACACTTTTTGAAGCTACCGAATTTTTTTCATAGGCACAGATTGCGCCACATACTATCAAGGAGGCTCCATGAAGTTTATTATATGTTTAGGCTAATGTGCTGGTTACACGCTCAAATTTCCATGAATTATCGATCAATAATGGTGACTGGTGCGCACCATCTACCATCAAATTTCTGCGGCCTGCAAAAATTTGATGGTAGATGATGGAACTGTGGGGCTCATCCTTCATCTAATTTCCACACAACCGTGCTTATTTCATGATTATTTCAATCAACACGCTGTTTTAATTAATTTTACTCATCAATATAGATAACTCTCGACCGCCATCTTGGTCATCATTTTGACCAGAATTTGACGGAAATTTGAGCGTGTAACCAGGCCATAACAGAATTAACAAAAAAAAATAAAGAAAAAAAAATGCGGCATTTTTTTGTCTCGTATCCAAGATCCCTCAGCTTTTAAGTGTTCCATAATTTAGCAATATAGACGGTCCGTTCGAAAACTTAAAAAACAGATCCCGACAGGAGAAAGAACCGAGGAGCAAACCAAACGATCATGAAAACAAACTTGTTTATAATCGCAACTAATGAGTGGAGATCAACTCGGAGAGCGGGTCCGAGGGAAAGGGTTGAAACGGAGTCGGCTTTTGACAAATTGGGGGAGGGGCTACCGATTGACCCACTCATCGGGCCATGGGCGCGGGGGCGGGCTAATGATTTTGTAAAGATTCGAAAAAGGGTGTAGGGGGTGTCTGTCTACAACTCGACACTCAACGATGAGCGATGATCTGAGAGAGGTACCCCGTATCAAAGTGGCTTGGATTGAAAAGCGTCGAATGGAAGATACAATCGGCATGACTTGTTTTTGAGATGGATACTTCAGTGAGTGTCAAATGTATAATTTTTCCATGTGCGTAGACTACTCATTGAAATTAATTAGATCTCGATTTGAAAGACCTTTTATGAATCGTTGTATCGGTACCGTTGTTTAAATAAAGCATTACTGCTGTATCTTCTGGCCTGGTTACACGCTCACATTTCCGTCAAATTCCGATCAAAATGATGACCAAAATGGCGGTCGAGAGTTATCTAGATTGATGAGTAAAATTAATTAAAACAGCGTGTTGATTGGAATAAGCATATGAAATAAGTACGGTTGTGTGGAAATCAGATGAAGGATGAGCCCCACAGCTCCATCATCTACCATCAAATTTTTGCAGGCCGCAGAAATTTGATGATAGATGGTGCCCACCAGTCACCATTTGATTGGAAATTGATGGAAATTTGAGCGTGTAACCAGCACATTCATTCTTGGCAGTTAAACCCAGCATCTAGAGATCACAAGATCGATTCCTGACATTAGAATTCTACCAAGGAATCATATTTTTTTCGGTGCCTGAGACATAAGCTGTTCCATTTAAATCAAGGTGCCTTGCGCCGATTCCAGGAAGAATGTCTAGCTATAAATGTATCCTTATACACAAAAAAGGGATCTAAGGAAACCCAGAATAGAATTGTGAATATGGTTGCATATAGGATTGAAGAAGTAATTTGCCGAAAATTTCAGCATTCACACGTCCAAAAATGACGAACTTAATCATAGAGGCAAGGGTGTAACAAGTAACATTTTTTCAGCCGAAAAAAAATTTGCAAGTTTTGAGAAAGAGCTTGTTAGGATTTTACTCTGCCATTCTCAGACAGTAGGAGAAACATAAGCGGATCCAGATTTTTTGAACGGGGGCTAAAGGGGGGCCGGGGGGCTCTCCCCCAAATTTTGTTGAAATTTTAAAGTATCTTCGCAGTATGCGATAATTTCAGCATGAATAATTACCAAATAATACTTCTGTCCTCTGTTCTTTCCTTCTTTCTTTCTTCCATTTTTCTACCTCCTTTTTCTTAGGCCAACGGGGAGAGGGGGGGGCGTACACGCTCCCTACGACCGCCTGTGAAGTGAAAGGCTACCTTTTAAGGTAGGTGAGAGGTAGAACCCGCTGAGGTTGCGTCGGGCTCGCCACCAGAAGTCGATGGATGGTGAGCCGCGGCCGTTGACTGTTGGAGTGCGGTCTGTCGGCAGCCGCGGCATAAATTGAAAACTCAAAGGGAATCTTTTTGATGGACTGTCAAAAGGGCCCCCGGGCAAAAACAGTAGGTCTTGGGTTTTTAAGGCAAATGGGCAGTGGCCGGGGAGCCGTAGCGCCGGACGCCTTCTAACTGGTTATGCACCGCGCACTGTTGCCTTTTATTTCTGATATTTTCGATTTTGAGCCTTGAAATAGCGCAGGGTTCTGAGGAGCTTAAAAACTGAACTCTCGTGGAACTACTCTGAACGTAAAACTCTGTGATTTGCATTCTGCCGCGTGAATCGGATATTACTTGAAGTCTTAAAAAATCACTAATTTTCAGTGAGTATTGGTGAAGAAATTACCATAGCCGATAGATATCAGTAGAATTTTTTTGTTGATTTTCGCTGATCATAAACTGAACAAGATTCTAAAGCCTTTTGGTTGTATTTTTCACTAAAACTATCATTTTTTTTACAAAATGGCTCCGATTTTGACACTATGAGAATGTTTATCGGAAGATGACCGCATCTATGGTGTCTAGTATCTGGAAAAATGAGATAAAAGGAAAAAAAAGATATCGGAACATCAGGTATAATAAAAGGTATTCGGGAAAATCAGGGAGCTTGTCTAGGCATTAGTGCTGAAAACCGCTCCCAAGTGATTTTTTTTAAACTGGTTGTGTTTTGGACCACAGCTTCCGAGAATTAGAGAAAAATTGAACAATACAGTATTATCATTTTTCCACGTTTAATTTAAGAGTTAAATTTAATTTTCGGCAGAAAATCTAGAAGAAACTGAGACGAAACCCTAGAACGCCATCAGGGAATTTTTACCTGAAATCAGGAGGAATCAGGCAAAAATCAGGTAATGAAAAAAAATCAAGAATTTTAGACACCGCGATCAGATCCGACATCGCGGCGTGTGAACGGCGCGGCGGCCGGCTATAGCGGCCCAGCGGCCGGGCAAATGAGGCGATCACTCACCTAGCTTCAGCCTCAACTTCAGCCTGCCCCCAGCGACTTGCCCTCTCTCTCTCTCTCTCTCTTCATCCCCCCTCTCTCTCGGGCTTTATTTTTATCTCCCTCTTTTAGCCTCAGCCGCGTCTTGCCACCTCTGATTTTCAACCTCAATTTGAATTGTTTTTTTCCTCTCCTCCGCCGAGCTCTGAGTTAGCCTCCTTGACCTGAGCCTGATACTCGTCGCGTAATTGGATCAGATTTGACCTGCGCATGCGCTAAGACTTCTCTATGAGAACCAACCTGGTGTGAAACCTAGTTTGCGAGCAGAATTCGAAAAAAAAATCCCGTCAAAATCGATAATATTCGATAAATTAAACTAGAATTTTATCGATGTTGTAAAATGACATAGATTGGTTTGAGACGCTATTTTGGGGGGTTCTAGGGAGTGTATGATACAAGGAGAAAAAAACCTCGTGCGTGGGACCCGAAGTTTAGGTCGTATGGATCTCTGAAGTTTTCCGATTGAGCATCTGAACACTTAAGGCCTAGCTGTCGAGGTTCGGATCACACATCTGAAACTTCAGTTCTTACATCTGAATAAGTACTCCAGATGTGAGAACCGAAGTTTTTCGGATGTGAGAACCGAAGTTTTTCAGATGTAAAAACTGAACTTTTTAGACGTGTGATCCAAACCTCAGCAGCTGGGCCTTAAGAGTTTGGATGCTCAATCCGAAAACTTCAGAGATCCATATGACCTAAACTTTGGGTCCCGCGCACGAAGTTTTTTTCTCCGTGTACATGTATCACGGCAATTGCAAGCAGTAATTACAGGCAGTAGTGCTGAGCCTCACAACTTTCGGATCCAGTCCTACAGGCTGTAGTTGGTGATATTTTACCTGCAGAGTTAGGGCTCAGTGCTAAGCAGTTCTTTCCGTGAACTAGTTGGACTTAATTTTGCATTAAGAAACTATGATTTCTAGCTCACCCCAAAAAGTTCCTACCTTCATGGGGAAACTTATGGCACATACGTTGCTTCTAATTTGAACCAGAAATAATACTGCCGTGCTAAGGAAAAACGCCGAATGAATATTTGAGAGTTGCCAAATTTCCCTTGACAAAACATGTATATTTGACGACATTCATGCACATTTTTCTTTTAAATTTTCAGATATTTTAGATCAAATTGTGTACAAAATAGTCTGAAATTTTTGGAAAAAAATATTCTCGATTTCCCCAGTAGGGGAAGGAAGGAAATTTGACATTTTTTGAAGGCTCATACCGCGTTCTTCCTTAGCATGACAGCATAGTTCCTTTTTCCAAAATTAGTCCAGTTTATGCTCGGAATAGTTCCAAAAAACTCATGACGTCAAAGTATCTCTTGGCGAAGCTCTCGCAT